TATATATATATATAAAAGATAAGATTTTGCAGTTTTCAAGCAATTTTGTAAGACTTCTTTTTATAATATGCATTACTGATTAAAAGTTTTGGTTCACAATTGCTTTTTAAAGGGGACATAACACATAGTTTCTGCCAATCATGTTAATCACGAGTACCTATAGAGTACTATTGCATCCTTCATATCTCTGAAGAGTCTTTAGTTTTATCAAATTTATAAAAGCCAGTTACAGCTATACGCTTCTCTCTGAAAACAGTCGAGCTCCTGGAGGCGTGTCGTGGGTGGAGCTAAAGAGTCATGAGCACGCAAAGCTTTTGCGTAGTGATTGTCTGCAAGCTGTGACATCGACATAAATAAAACAGAAACACAAACTTTATTGACTTAAATTTTATTTCATTTGTTTATAAAACATTCATCACCGAAATGCCGGGAACAAACAAACACACTTACACAACTCCATTACCGCCCCGGAGAAACAAACTGAATCCACTGTTCCCTTAACACTGAAGCCAAATAAGGTTATCTTTCCCTCTCAACCAAAAACACACTTCTTTGGTGACATTGTTGATTTCGTGGTCTAAAAACAAACTGACAAATCCTTCTTGAGCAAGTCCTGTGCAGCGCTGCTGATGACTTCTGTAACCTGAATGAAGCACGTTGATGAGCGCACTCTTGCTCTCGCTCTGGTTGATGTGTGCGCAAGCTCTTCCTGGAGAAGTGCCCATACAAGGAATTCCGCCCTTCACGACGTCATACATACTCGGAAAAAAAACTTGAGAGAAGTTTTTCTCAAATTGTGTGAAGGTATTAGTGAATGAGGCCTATTATTTCTCACTTGGATGACTCTAGTGGCAGAGAAAGTACATTCTACCTTTAAACAATTCAAGAACAAATGGCCAAAATGACTCTTTCTTCTTTTTTAAATTCCTAGAAAACCATGCATCCAGTGAAGGGGGCTTTTACTTAAGATTGATGTCAAATAAGATTGCGGGCAGTTTATTGGAAAAGATGTTCACCTCGGCTTCTCATGTTTTTCATTTCTCTCATATTGGCTGAGTGGTGGTTCAGGTCGGCTGATGAGGATTTCCTTCTGTGTGTGTCTACTGACAGCTGTTTATTTGGGCAGCACTGCAGAATGGCATGTTGTAAACAACACCTGCTCTCACAGACGCCTCACAGTGAATCTACCTCAGCCGGAGAGATCAGTGACATCCACTGAATTCATAGCTTGAAAAATCTGCATAGTGTGTCTAAGGAAGAAAGTTCTGTGAATTATATTACTGCTCATCTTATGATATAAACAGAAGAACTGAAGATAAGCATAACTCTGCTGATAAAATATTTGCTACTTTTGTGCTGTGCAAGTTTGAAGTCATCATATCACAGCGCATAAATCATGGATAAAAATCACTTGTTATAAAACAGTGTCTGGACTGAGCACACCGCAAAGTGTCTGAAAAACAACCACAGGAAGAAGTTTGGCCGGGCTTAATGAATATTTTCTTAATTAATCAGCACATTCTTAATAAATGATTCATTGATGAATATATTTTACAGACTTCAAATTGTACAGCACAGCTCAACAAATGCTGCAGAAACTGATCCCTAATGTGTGAGACAAACTGAAAGGGCTCTTCATGATTTTTTGAGACATGAGATAAAACCGCCTATAGAAAAGAAGAAATAAAAGTTCCTTCTTCCCGAATGTGTTTTTCTTGATGTAACTCATCAAATGCTATGTGTGCAACCCTCAACAAATGCGATTAAATCTTCACTCTGGGCGACTAAATGATGTCTATCGTTAGCCATTGGCTAATAAATTCTTAGATTTTACTTGCCAGTGTGAGTTGAAGGCTAAGTATAAGTTTAGCACAGATATATTTTCACTCGCCGAACACTCTGACTGAGCGCTTCAGAGTTTCACTCTCAGTCAAGTGATCTGTGCTATTTTTCAATTAATCTCAATGGATGCGCAGCATACTTGTATTTGACATATCGTAAACTCTAGTGTGAAGGCGCACGACTTGCCATTGCTTTGCTGAGGTTCTCACACACACACACGCAAAGAGAGAGAGAGCGAGAGAGAGAGAGAGAGAGAGAGAGAGAGAGAGGGAGAGAGAGAGAGAGAGAGAGAGAGAGAGAGAGAGAGAGAGAGAGAGAGAGAGAGAGAGAGAGAGAGAGAGAGAGAGAGAGAGAGAGAGAGAGAGAGAGAGAGAGAGCAAGAGAGTCTTACATACCATGCAGAATTGATGCGCTACATGTAAACAATGTTCTTTGTTGTATTGTCCTGTCAAAATAACAGAGTTCATTTGGAATTCTTCCGCTTTTAAGAACAACCATAAGATATTGCAGTTTCTCCGGTAGTGGGCGGAACTAATGCGCAAACGGCAATCTCATTGGCTGGCGCGCACCTGTTATCCTCCCTGTTTTGACTTCAGAAAATCAGCTTGAGCGAACGCAGACAACGTGATTAACATTCATGAACCCAGCAGCTCATTAATCCTTAGTGTGTTTTATATTGTTATTAGTAGAATGCGTAGTATTATCTTATCAGTATTATTGTTCTTTTTTTTTTTTTACAGAAACACTGAATGACCACTTAAGCACCACCACAAGTCCTAATTTCAGTTCAAATGACAAATATGCATTAAATAATGCTTGATTATCATAATATCATATTATAATGCTTGACTGACTGATGTTAAGAGTGTACTTTCAGATATTTAAAAAGCTGTGGCATTTTACAAACATAAGCTTTATATATATATATATATATATATAAAATAGTATATCAGATATTTAATAAACTAAACTAAAAAATGTATTAGCCAATGGCGATTCTTTTGCCAAGGTGTCTGTAGAGGGTTGCCATGGAGGACATCAATATTAATTATATGGTGAACATACACTACCATTTTTGTTTCCAATAAATGCTATTCTTTTGAACTTTCTATTGATTAAAGTATCCTAAAAAAATTGAATGAATTAAAAATTAGAATGATTTCTGAAGTATCATGTGACACTGAAGACTGGAACAATGATGCTGAAAATTCAGCTTTGCGCCAAATATGCTACTAATTACTCAATCACATTATATGTTATATATATATTATATATATATATATATATATAGAGCTCATGGTTTTGATAGATTATGGTGTCAAAAACAAACTTATTCTACTTAAATCCACATTTATTGCATGCAGTAGCCGTTTTTTTTTCTGCCGTTTTGCTTAAAATGAGTCAAATTATCTTAAAAATAAACTATCCAATTTCTTTACAAAATGGGTAATGGGGCTGGTATAAGCAAAAGTACATATGTTTGCTATTCAAAATCAAACTAAAAGCATAGATATAATATTTACAACTGGTCTTTGTTGCATTTATTTCCATACTGAATTGAGATCTGTTGTCTACATATATTTAATAATCTAAAGCTGTTTACATTGCAAAGTTGGCACAGGAACAATGTTCAGTGTTGGATAAATGTGCACAGCTGACAGAAAACAAGACACAAGCCATTATGACAGCAACAAAGTTTATGACTCTTCTAATATGATATTTCAACTATGCAGTGTTTAAGCTTTTGCTGCATAGCAAGCACCAGCATTTCCTTGTAGAAATGCAAATATAGTTTATTTATGATGGTTATTGGAAAGTTTCCATCACTCCACAGGGAATAATTACACTATTATCTGTTCTGAAATCTGTACTCTTTTTTTTTTTTTTTTTGCTGCGTAACAGAAAATACAATGCAGAACAGCTTTTGGAAAATGGTTGAAGAAAACATCTGTTAAAAGGTATCAAGGGAAACAGCGTTTATTTGAGTGCTTTTAATTAACCGCTGCAGAAAAACCTAATTAGTTTCATATGTGATTACGTGATAGATGTGTAATCAACAGCAGCTACTAAAAGCCTATAGTGCTGCTTTAGCAATCATCCCCAGGATCCATGAACAACTGAGGTTTTGGTCTGGGTCAAATATAGACCTACAGTGGCAGAAAAAGGTCAAAGAGGAGGAATATGTAAACATCTGTCATGCTGCACAAACTCAGC